TTCCTTATTTTATATTTTGTTAAAACTCACCCAAGAGTATTTTTTATTTTATTTTTTAATATGTGTTTTTTTTGCCGAAACCGGTTTGGCTCAGTGGTAGAGCGTCGGTCTGCGGACTGAAAGGTCCCAGGATCGATTCCGGTCAAGGGCATGTACCTTGGTTGCGGGCACATCCCCGGTAGGGGGTGTGCAAGAGGCAGCTGGTCGATGTTTCTCTTTCATCGACGTTTCTAGCTCTCTATCTCTCTCCTCCTCTCTGTAAAAAAAATCAATAAAATATATTTAAAAAAAAAAAAAAAAAAAAAAAAAAAAATATGTGTTTTTATTGATTTCAGAGAGGAAGGGAGAGGGAGAGAGAAACATCAGTGATGAGAGAAAATCATTGATTGGCTGCCTCCTGCACGCCCCCTACTGGGAACCAAACCCACAACCAGGCATTTGCCCTGATCAGGAATCATGACTTCCTGGTTCATATGTCAATGCTTAACCATGAGCCGGGCCAAGAATATTTTCTTCATTGATTTTTAGAGAGAGAGGGAGGGAGAAAGGAAGGGAGGGATGGTGGGGGAGAGAGAGGAGAGAGATAAAAACATCAATGTGCCTCTTGATTGGTTGCCTCCCTGTACCTGCAACCCAGGTATGTGCCCTTAACCTGGAATTGAGCCCACAATCCTTTGGTGCACAGGCCGACATTCTAACCACTGGACTACACTAGCCAGGGCAGGACTCAACTTTCCTTATTGTGTGAAAGCAACCATTGACAATCATGAAAATGAACAGTGTGCCTGGTTGCCTAGCATACTTTACTATGGGCATGAAAATTTTAATCTTGCTCTGGCTGGTTTGGCTCAATAATTAGAGCATTGGCCTTGCAGACTAAAGAGTCCTGGGTTCAATCCGGGTCACATGCCCAAGCTGCAGGCTGGATCCTTAGTAGGGGGCATGCAGGAGGCAGCCTATCAGTGGTTCTCTCTCATCATTGATATTTTTATTTCTCTCTCTCCCTTCCTTTCTGAAATCAATAGAAAATATATATTTTTTAATTGAATCTCATGTGGTTTTCATCTGACATGAAATATTACTTTTTTAATTTTTGTCCAATCATTTAAAAATGTAGGAGCCATTCTTAGGTGGTGAGCCATACAAGCACAGGCAGCGAGCCGCATAGTCTGCCCACAGGACTCAGGGCCAGCCCTTGATTTTTCACACTAATGTATGGAAAACAGTCCCCTGAGTGGCAAGTAATCCAAAAATCACTTCTGTTTGGCTCTGGAATACGATGTGTAATTTCTTAAACAACACACGTATTTTCCTGGTTACCTTGATTCTAGTCCAGTAATCAAATTAGCACACATTCCAGGTGAGCACAGAGAAAGAGGCCGCTTGGAAAGGATGGCGGGCCGTGGGAGGCTGGTCCGGTGATTGCAGACCCGCAGTGGGAGGGAGGAGGCCTTCTCCCGTGAGCAATAACAATCTTCCTGTAGAAGCATCGAGCTTTTTCATTACGCTCTGATGACAAGGTTTAAACGGTGGCCATGCTGATCATGCATTCCTTCCACGTTCCCGCAGTGGCACTTTTTGGTTTTAATCAGAAAACTGATTGCTGGCTTATCTTGTTACCATGGTGATTTAAACATTCCCCTCTGCTTGAAAGGGGAAAAATATATGCTTTCATTAACTTCTGCAGAGATCATCAAAAAGATCCACGTGTGAGGGCCTGAGGGGGTCTTGGGCCATCTGATCCAAGCCTCTCTGTTCACAGATGAGGAAACCAAGGCCTAGGAGATTCATTTGGAAATTCATAGTACCTACCCCAAAGCCATCTATGAGCGGTGGTTAAATGAGACTTGACTAGACCAGGTCTCTGGAGACCAGCCAGTGGTCTTTGTGCCACATCCCTGTGCCTCCTGCTGTCTGCCAGTTAGATCACCTGCCAGAGTGACAGCTTTAACGGAGAAATGTCACATCATTATGCAATCCCCTCACTTCCCCCACCCCACCACTCTCCTGTTCTCACAGAACAGCCTCTGGGTTCACAAGAGCTCCTGTAGGTGCTGAAAGAGATTCCTGGAGGCTTTGGAGCCCATTGCTGAATTAGACCGGCCTCCTGGAGATGCTTCTAGGTACTCGGAGGTGCAACTCTTGAAGAGTTTTTCTAGAAGTCAGATTGTCAATATGTGCATCTTCTTAAAGTCAATCTGTTTCAGGAAGGAACCTTTAAAAGTTGTCCCACTGACTGGAAACCGTAAAAGACGTTAGGATTCCCTAGTTTAAGATCACTACTTAAAAGCAAACTGCCGGTTACAATTGTTGCACAAACTGTGGCCGTTGTATTAGCCCTATGTCATGCGTCCCTGCATACCGCCACCCTCATTTTACAGACAAGAAACCAGCTCAGCGTAGTTTAGTAACGCTCACGATCACTCTGCTGACGCTCACGATCACTCTGCTGATAAACATCAGAGCCATTTGACTTCTGGTCTTTCTGGCTCCACAGTTTTCTGCAGTTTTCCCAGGCTACTGAGGCCTGAAGGGAAACTGTAGGCATCTCAGAAACAAGTGCACCAGCTCTGCCATCAGTCCTGCAAGCCATGCGCCTGAAATTAATACGTCCTAACACATGTCTACAGTAAACCAGGTCTCTAGTAGCAATAACTGACATGTGTTGAGTCCCTTTGCCTGCCTGCCAGGCACTGTTCTAAGTACTTTATGTACATTAGTTCATTGTAACAGCTCAATAGGGTCTAGATACTTTATTTTCCCCATATTTTAAGAGAGTGAGAAACTTGTCCGAGGTTACCTAACTGATAAAGGGCAGAGCAACCCAGTTCCAGAGCCCACAGTCCATAGCCAGGACACCTCTTGGCCAAGGTACAGGAAGCAAGGATGCCAGCCTCAGCACTATGGGGTTTGGAGCCGGGTCACTCTTTGTTGTAAGGGGCCTGTCCCACGCATTGTAGAATGCTAAGGAGCACCACTGGCCTCTACCTACTACATGCCAATAGTACCCCACCCTCCAATTTGACAACCAAAAATATCTCCAACATGGCTAGCTGTCCCTTAGAAGGCAAAGTTCCTCCCATTTGAAAAGCACTGACATCTATATATATAAAAGGATAATATGCTAAGTGTTCATCCGACCGGTAGCTGTGATGCACACTGACCACCAGGGGCCAGACGCTCAACACAGGAGCTACATAGCCGCAGAGGTTGACGGGTGACACACCCTGACTCTCTGACTTGGCAGCAGAGGTTCTCGGTTGACATACCCTGGAACCAGAGAAGAGGGAGCCCGATTCCTCATGGAGCCATGCAATTCCACCTTTGGCTGTGGGTTATATGTTGTTGCTGGGCACTGTCAGCCCCGAATCTGGTTTACTGCACACTTGTTCCATACCCTGTACAACAGCAACTTTGCAGAGTGCCCTCTTGGACTCATCATCCAAATGGTATCTTAAATAATAAAAGGCTAATATTCAAATTGACCAAACAGAGGAACATCCAGTCGCTATGATGCACACTGACCACCAGGGGGCAGACACTCAATGTAAGAGCTGCCACCTAGTGGTTAGTACACTCCCAGAGGGGGAGCACTGCTCAACCAGAAGCCAGGTTCATGGCTGGCAAGTGCAGTGACAGTGGTGGGAGCCTCTCTCACCTTTGCAGCAGCGCAAAGGATATCTGACTGATGGCTTAGGCTCACTCCCTGACGGAGCAGCATCCCCCAAGGGCTCCTGGACTGCGCGAGGGCACAGGCTGGCTTAGCCCCCCCCCCCCCAATTGCATGAATTTTGTGCACTGGGCCTCTAGTAAATAAAACCAACAGTTCTTTCTAATTGATTGGTATAATTTATAGCATGCATTGCATCAGTGCCATGGGGGGAGAAGAAGAGGTGACAACAAGAAACATCAACCAGAGAGTTGTTTTGTTTTGTTTGATTAAAATATTAACCTGGGCCAGGACAGGTTTGGCTCAGTGGATAGAGCGTCGGCCTGCGGATTGAAAGGTTGAAAGGTCCCGGGTTTGATTCTGGGCAAGGGCATGTACCTTGGTTGTGGGCACATCCCCAGTTGGGGGTGTGCAAGAGGCAGCTGGTCGATGATTCTCTCTCATCGATATTTCTAACTATCTCTCTCTTCCTCTCTGTGAAAAATCAATAAAATATATTTAATAATAAAAATATATATATATATATATATATATATATATATATATATATATATATATATATATATTAACCTGGAAGTCACAGCATAAGTGCAGTGTCCCAGGATGTCAGGACCATTAGAAATCTTTATATATCTATTTCCACCTGCCATTTTAGAGAAGGTGACACCAAAGTCTAAAGAACTTAGAAAATGGGTCCAAAATTACTTACCTAGTCAGTTTCAGGGCCACCGAATTAGAAGCATCTCTCCTGGCTTGCTGGGTGCTGGGTGTGGTTGTGTGCCCTGCATGTACCGTTGTGAATACTCACCCTCTGTCTGTGTGTCTCTGCAGCCAACAGTTTCAACCTGACACCAGCCGGGGCCTCCCCAGACGCCACCACTCCCACAGCAAGTCCAGCTGTGACTCCAGCTGCAGATGTCTCTGCTCAGGACCAGCCCACAGTCCCTAATAACCCAGAGCCACGTGGGTGAACTGTGCACTCCAGGTCTCTCTCGATGAGAGAGAATCCTTTGGACAGGTGGTATTGGAAAGTTGGGGCCAGGGCATTCTACTGATAAATACCTTAAAAGTCTTGTCACCTGGATGTGAATTTTGCACTTGGTGTCTCTCTTTTTTTTTTTTTTTTTTTTTTTTAAATCAAATGACAAAGAGTGCCCAGAGTATTCAAACATGTGTGTTGGGAGGTTAGCTGGGTCATCACAGACATTTGTTCCCAGTGACTCTGTGTATTGGGAGTCACCGTTTGCCCGGCAACATAGCGGAATCCTTCTATCCTGGAACGTTGTTTACGAATTGTGACTTTTCCACATGTTAAGTGATATTCCGGTATATGCTTTTGCCACAGCCCTGCCCCTCAGAGTCCAATCAACAGATTGCAATTTGGCTTCCAACACCCAGCAGCCTTGACACAAATCGGTTGTGGCTGGAAATGCGGGGAAGGCAATGGCTTGTAAATTGGTTTACATTTTGCTCCTTGAATTTTTCTAGGGTTGTAGTGCTTCCAGATCATTCAATGACATTGTTGGGCATCGGTTACCTTTCAATTGCAATCCATAAAATAACATTTAGAAAATGCTTAGTATTTAAGTGTAGCCTTCTCTATGAATTACCCATTAGAATAGACTGGCAGCAGTGGGATGTGCAGGAAAAAATGCCTTTAGATCACAGTCACCCCCACCCCTTATGCCTGCCTGAGTCCATGTAGGGGTGTGTATGTGTGAGAGACAGAGAGTCAGAGAGACAGAGGAAGAGGAAAGGTAAACTGTGCACTGTATGCTGCTAAGGTGGTAAATAAATCAGTAATGCAATATTGTGGGTCCAAACTACTCTTTGCACTACTTTATTTACAGTAGTAAATAAAAATTATTTTTATACATTAACTTCCAGGAAGTGTTTTTTCTCTCCTTTTTCATAGTTACTGATGTCATTGTACAAAGTCCTCAGGTTTATACATTCCCCTCAAGAGACAAAAAAAAAAAAAAAAAAAAAAAAAAAAAAAAAAAGTCCTCCTTAAAAAGGGGTCCTTCTGGTAACCCTTGCGGGAGGTGGCAGGTGGCTGCTCTCCAGGAATCTGAGCTCAGGATTTGACCCCATGATGTTTATACAGGGTCAGACATTGTTTCAAGGTTTCTTGTTGCACTGAGCTGAGTTCATATCAATTCTGAGTTGTTTTCAGTCTAACCCTCTTTCTCCTCCGTGTGCTCTTGTCTGATAGCAAAGCTTATCCTTCCTGCTTTCAAATGAACCTGACTTTGGAGCCCTGGATTCAGACCCTGTTTGGGTAACTTCCTAGCTCAGTAAGCTTACAAGAGTGATTAACCCTCTAAGTTTCAGATCATCCTATATAATAAGAGGCTAATACGCAAATTGTTCCTTCCACCAGGGGGCAGGGCCAGCCAACTCCCCCTGTCCAGCTGTTTGTGCTGAGTTTCCCCTGCAGTCCCACCCATGACCAGCCTGAGCCCATCGGGGTTGGTGGGGAACCCTCGCTTAGCGGGTACCCTGGCAGAGGTGTGCGGACCTGGGGCTGGCAGAGGTACGGGCACACCCCAACTCTGAGAAACATCAAGACTACTTCGAGAGTGTCTTCCAGAGGGAGTTTCCTCCTGAGCAGACGAACCATTTCAATCAGGGACCAATAGGGACGTGACCTCTGTTGCACTCTCAGGATGTTGAAATCTGAGACAATACATTTATATTTCATTTAGTTTTCACAATACCACTGCAAATCAGATATACTTTTTTTTCATTTTTCAGATAAACTAACTGTTCTTCCAAGAATACAGAGTAACAAGCAATCATTAAGTCTCAGTGGCACACAGTCATAAGCATTTATTTCTTGCTCAGGCATCTATGGGTTGGCTGTGCTTCAGCTGATCTAGGCTGGGCCCAGTGGGGCTCAGGTCCAGGCTGTGTGTGTGGACGGAGGGGGGCGGGGAACCGGGGAGAGTGGGGAGTCCAGGCAAGCTGAACATGAACATGTCTTTTATTCTTCTGGGGTCAGCAGGCAACTGGGGCATGTTTATATTGAATGGGATCAGAATCTGCAACCCCAAAATATGCCATTTGGGCAAAAAGGTTATTGAGAATCAGCAGATGTAGGAAGAGTTCTCTGCCCTCTGCCTTTTCTGCCTCAAAGCAGAGCATGCATTTCCCTTTGTGAAGGTGTCCCCTCCTCTCCTGTGCAGGAAGAGGAGAGCTACTCTTCTCTCTAGGGATGGAGAGTGGGCACCGAGATGGTGTGAATAGACCAACTTTACAAATTAACCCCAGTCTTCCATTAGTTTCCCCATGTAGTTCCTGGTTGCTGTCCCACAATATAATACATCACTCCTCAAATCCCAAACCGCCTGAGCTCTGTAAAAAATGGTAGGTAAGCCCCTGAGTCTAAATTACTACTCTGACTTTCTCTCTTCCTGTAAACACCTGTACGCATAAAATATTAGCTAAAATGGTACGCCCTGCCGAAACTGATTTGGCCCAGAGGGTAGAGCGTCGGTCTGCGGACTGAAAGGTCCCAGGTTTGATTCCGGTCAAAGGCATTACATTGCTTTCGGGCACATCCCAGCAGGGGGTGTGCAGGAGGCAGCTGATCAATGTTTCTCTCTCATCGATGTTTCTAGCTTTCTATCCCTCTCCTTTCCTCTCTGTAAAAAGTCAATAAAATATATTTTTTTAAATAAAAAATAAATAAAATGGTATGCCCTTCTCCTGTTCCTCTGTCTCCTGTTAGTTTAATTCACAGGCCCCATTTACTGAACACAAGAGGGTAGAGGACATTTATCTTTCCCAGCAATCTCAGCAAAAGGCTCAAACACCCAACTGCACAAGCATTTTTGAAACCTTCATTCACATCGGCCAAAACTGCTAATGTCCCATCGGCCAAAGAGTTAAAGGTCATATGGGTAAGCCACGTGGGCAGGAAAGCTATGCCTCCTGCAGAGGAGGGAGGGGGCCGCTTTCAACTCCCATTTTTCAGACATCAAAGCTCTACCTGCTGCCTGCAGCCTTAGTTGACCGGCCTCCTGTGAATTCCCTGGCTCGCTGTCTTTACCACTCAATGAAGTCACTAATTAATCACTTTCGTACTGTTCAGGACTTTATTCTTTGGTATTTACTTTGTGTCCCCAGTGGAATCGTTTAGTTCTTCGAGTGGGGGGGGGCAGTGCGGGGGGGCACTTCTAGTCACCCAGGGCCCCTGCACAATGCTGGCACAGAGAAGCACAATAAGTAATCTGACAAGGACTGGTCAAGTATGTTTTTCCTACCAAGAGGCCCGCGAGAAGTGCCACTGTGGATATTCCGGCAGCTTCCCTGAAACCAGCCCAAAATTGCTGAGCCGGTAACTGCAGCCCACGGTGCTGGAAGAACATGACAGTTCTTCATTAATACGGTGGATCTTCCACCAGCAGGTACAGTTGGATTAATCAGCCCGGCATCCTCCTCACAGACTTAATTAGCAGCTCTTGTCAAAACTCCGCTTCCTGTTAAAACCAGGCTGAAAAACAAATCACCATTCCAAGCTTATATCCTTACTAGAGGACTGGTACATGAAACTTATGCACGGGGCAGGGGGGTTCCTCAGCCTGGCCTGCACCGTCTCCAATCTGGGATCCTTCTCACAGTCCAGAATCACTGGCTCCTAACTGCTCACCTGTCTGCCTGTCTGATGCTCCTAACTGGTCCCCTGCCAGCCTGATGGCCCTCACTGCTCTACCCTCCTGGCTTGATCACCCTAACTGCCTAACTGCTCCTCCCTGTCCATCTGACCTCCATCTGCTGCTGGCCTGATCCCCCTCACTGCATATCTGCTCTCCTCTCCTGGCCTGATCCCCCTAACATCCAGACAGACGTGAGACCAAAATCTCACTTTCTTCTTTTTACTGAGCTAAAATTGACATGTGACATTGTGCAGTTTTAGGGTGTTACTTGATACACTCCTAGTGTATGATCACTTCCTTGGCGTTAGCTAACATTTCCATCACATCACACAATCACCATTTCGTTTTTGTGGGGAGAACATTTAAGACTTCGTCTCTCAGTAACTTTCAAGTATACAATCTAGGAGTGTTAGAAATTAAAAATAGAACTACCATGAGATCCAGCAACCTCCTTTCTGGGTATATAGCCAAAGGTAGTGTCCATCAACAGATGAATGGGTAATGAAGTGATGGAATAGAATGGAATACAATTTAGCCAAAAGAAAGAAGGAAACCCTGCCTTTTGCATCCATGTGGACGCTTTGGAGAATTATTTTTTTTTTTTTAAATCCTACTAAGCAAGGTCAGGAGGGAAGTAAAGAGTTAAAGAACACACACTCTGAGAGGCAAATTGGACTGCGTTTTCCATCTCACAGCAGTCCTGTGCCATGACAATTATTATTCCCGATTGTAAAATGCAGAGGCTGAGAACTTGATGGTTGTGTGATTCTCCCAAAGTTATGTTGCAGGCTGGACGCAGAGGGTGAGGTGACCATGCGCCTGCCCACCGCCAAGCTGTGTTGGTGGCTGCTGTTCTCACATGTGGGAGAACCAACAGTCACTCTCCTGCATGAGGTCGAACTAGGAGGGTTGGTAATCCCTCACCAGTGCCAGAGCTCTAATGCCAAGTATAAATACAAATGAAACATTAAAAGCCACCTCTTATGAATGTTTGTAAAGTATTGTCAGGCCTACACTATCTGAAGAACTTAATGGAGAGTTCTAGCTTTTGCAGGAACCTCTGAAGGGAGTCGAGGGGCTTTGTCAATTAATTAACAACATGCAATGAATAGGAATTCTGAGCAAGCATGCATCCCTCCACGCTTGTTGAGCTGGCGGGTACCTGCTCTGTAGCTACTCAGGACACATACCGACCCCTGGGCCTGATCCCGCAGGAGATAGTGGCACTAGGTGAAAGAGAAAGCAGCCCCTGAGATACCACCGCCACGATGTAATCTGCTCTTGGCTATCCAGGTTGATAGAATCAGGTCTCATCCTCTGGAAGGCAAATACTATTGAAGCGCTAAGCTTTTATGTTCCTCTCCAAACCAAGCTATGAGGTTCTGGCTCTATTTTAATTTTTGTTTAAATAATACTTTTTACTAATTCCAGAGGTAATATGGAAATCACAGAAAATCTAGAATATGAAAAACTATAAAAATCTCCATAATTGAAGAGAATCCAAGATGGCTGCACAGGTAAACACTTAGCTGCAGCCGCACACAACAATTTCAATAAAATACAACTAAAATATAAAATGGACATTACCCAGAACTACAGGAAAGTCGACTGACTGGAAATTCTACAACGAGAAGCAAGGAGAAAACTAGAAGAAAGAGCCTAAGGTGCTACCCGCGGCGCGCGGAGAGGACAGAGCCCGAGAGGAGGGGTGGCTGAGTGCCTGGCTGGCGTTTCCTAGCGGGAAGGAGATAAAAGCTCTGACTTTGCTGGGCCCCAGTTGCGACTGCTCTGAACCCCAGTTCTAGGCCAGACCCCAGAGACCCAGGCTCATCCATAGGGAGCTGGGCTGTAAGATGAAACCCCAGGGGAGCGGCAAAAGGAGATCCCGGAGGCTTGCACATTGAGTGCAGAGAAGGGACAGTTGGCTGTGCCACAGGATTGCCCTGGCGGGAAGGAGGCTAAAGCTCCAGACTGCTCTGAAAGCCATCTTCAACTTCACTACCAACTGAACTGAACCCCAGTTCTGGGCTCATTTCAGGAGAGC